GGGACTCGATCCGACCCAGGACAGCAGGTTCTGTGTGCACGTGTCTATGACTCGTTTGCTCACCCCTGCCTCTCTCACTGCCTGCACGTTTCTCCTCCTGGCTGGTCTTCACCTGACCGCCCCCCCCATCCCACACTTTCTATCCTCTGGCGCATTTTCCTTTTCTCCTCCTGAGCAGGGAACTATTGGCTGTGTATCTCCTAAGCTTCTCTTGCCAAAGTCCCCACCCCCACCCCGCCGTCCCCTTGGAGATGCAAAGTAAGGAAGCAGAGTGTGTAAGATGAAGACGACACGAGACAGACCGATCCACGGAGACAGAGAGCAGATGGGGGTTCCCAGCGGCCGGAGGAAATAGGGGGTGACTGCTCACAGATTTGGGGTCACCCTGCAGGGGGCAGCAGACGAAAATGTTCTGGAACCTCACAGAGATGAGGGTCGTGCGACTTTGTGAACGTGTAAAGCGCCACGGCACGGTTCCCTTTGAAATGGTTCCTTTTGTGTTATGTGAATTTCACTGCCATCTTTTAAAAATGAGAAGGAACAGGGGCTTCCCCGGCGGTCCAGTGGTTAAGACTCCGCGCTTCCACTGCAGGCGGCCAGGGTTCGATCCCTGGTCAGGGAACTGACATCCCACATGCCACCGGCAGTGGCCAAAAAACAAGTAAAAGTTTTTTTTTAAATGAGGAGGAACAGCCTGCAGGACTTCTGTAAGACGAAATATTCTTTTCTAGTATTTTCCATAATTTTATAAAAAGAAATATTCTTTTCTCGTATTTTACCTAACTTTCGAAGTTCCTCTGATGCTCTTAAGTTGAAACTACCATTCACGCCCACTCAAGGTAAATCAGATTAAAAGGTGAACACAATTTTCTGGGTATCGCTACACAGTAAGCAACATTCCCTCCTAAAGGCTTCTGTCAACAGCGCCCCGGGAGAAGCCATTCACATGCAGTGGGAAATCTCCCCAGTGCAGATTCCACCCGCCTCCAGGGCGTGCTGCTCCCGGTGATGCTTTGGGAGTCCAGGTGGGAGGGAGAAAAATTAGGGCCGGTTCTGGGGAACCAAGGGTGCATGAGACAATCTTATCAGCAGGGAGGAAAATGAAAGTAAGAGACAACAGTGCAGGTTTAATTACTCACTACGGAAGGTCTCCTCAGTCTAAAGAAAATACAACTTTCTGACAGTGTGACGTGATAGTAAAAAAATACGTGTCAGGCGTGAGCGCGTTTCTGTGGTCAGGGAATGAGCTTTGTGCCTCGATCTCGGGGCTGGTGGCTGCCCAGACGGATGTACAGGATAAAACTGCACAAAACCAAACGCATGCCCGCTCCTCACAAGCTCAAAGGAGTTCCCACGAAAAGTGGGAGCACTGAGGAAGGTCTGTGGTCTCTTAGCAGGATGGACCCCACGACGGCGTGCGTCCTGGTTTTGATATTGTGCGGCACCTACAGAAGACATCACGGGGGAAAACTTCACGAAGGGTGCATGGGACTAGGTGCAGGTTTTGGAATCCCCCGTGCACCTATCATTATTTCAAAACATTTATCTTTAATAGCACCATTGTTCGTGCTCATAGCGAGAAATCAAGCTTGGTTACCTGGACCAGGAATGTGGACCGGGGGCTGCACACCATTCCTTCTGTAACTGGGCCTGTTTTTCAATCTATGAAATCCGTTTGGCCAAGACAGGACCCAAGGTCCCTTCCACGCTCTTTAAAAAATGCCCATGTTGGGGCTTCTCTGGTGGCGCAGTGGTTGAGAATCTGCCTGCTAATGCAGGGGACACAGGTTCGAGCCCTGGTCTGGGAGGATCCCCCATGCCGCGGAGCAACTAGGCCCGTGAGCCACAACTACTGAGCCTGCGCGTCTGGAGCCTGTGCTCCGCAATAAGAGAGGCCGCGATAGTGAGAGGCCCGCGCACCGCGACGAAGAGCAGCCCCCGCTTGCCACAACTAGAGAAGGCCCTCGCACAGAAACGAAGACCCAACACAGCAAAAATAAATGAATAAACTAATAAACTCCTACCCCCAACAACAACACCACCAAAATGCCGGTGAGGTTTTTCACCAACATAAGCTAAGCTTTCTTCCAAGCTGTCTGAATTTGTGGGGGGCTAATCAACCTAGAACACGGACAACTTCCCATAGACAGTTTATTCAGGAGCACAGAATAAGAGCATCTGAGACCTTACTGGTCACTGACTTTCCTCCTTATTCTATCTCCAAGGTGTCATGGCCGCCCCGTGAACTGGGCCGTCGGCTTCCAGCTGGGTCTCGGTATCCTGGTGCCAACCCTCCTGGGGGGTCCTGCCATCTGAACAGCCACTGCCGGTTTTGCTAAATCATGGAGAAGCACATCTGTGCCCACCTGCTGCGTTCCACCTGCGCTGATCGTCACAACCGTCCTTGGGGGATTGTGAGTCAGCAATTCTGTCCCACAGGCGCCTCCCCCGGGGCCCAGCTCACAGGCAAAAGAAAAGGATGAAAAAAAACACCTGTTGGTGAGAAAAAGAAGAGCTCACACACCGGAGTGGAGATCAGACCAGGTGAAAATGCACAACTGTGTGAGGCCAGAACTTCAGGGTGGAGGACAAGCCCAGCCGGCCCGGTCCTTCCACCCTGACTCATTCTGGAAGGTTCCAAGGGCGTGGGGATTGTGGTTATGTTAAGAAAGGCTGAGAGGTTTGTCAGGATGTTTTTTTTGTCTTCTGTGTTGTGTGTGGGTTCGTTTCAAGTTGTGGAAGACAGCCTTGCTCAGCTGGAGAAATGCATACAGATGGCCTCAGACGATTCAGAGCCACTGGGGGTGCCTGTTTGCGATGGGGGACAGTTAGGGATGGGTCCGGGGCAGTCAAAAGGGAACTTAAGTTTCCTGGGCCCGAAGCTTAGGATGAAGAGGCACCATGCTGGCCCCAACTGCGTTCTAACTGTGGGTAAAGAGCCCAACATAGCCCCTCACTTTTGTCCATGACACCTCATGGTCTAACGTTACTGGAAACTCTAACACCTCTGATGGGTTTGGGATTTTTTAAAAGCTTATTCTTACTTTCTTAGATTAACCATGCGCAGATAAATCTGGAATATTAAAGAAAGTTCTGGCAAAAGGTGATTTTAAAAAGCCACCAAAACTGCAAAGCCACACACACACACCCCCCCTGGGTTCCAGGCCCCTGCTGGTCCAACATCCTGAACACGTGTGACCTGGCTCTCCCTTCACACCCTTGGAACCCACAGGAAGTTATCCTTGAAGAGCAAGTATCTTCTTCATTAAGAAAGGGAAAGACAACTGGAGAGCTCATTTCCCCCCCACCCGGCCCTGCTCGGTCCCCAGAGCCAGTGACTTTCTATTTTTAAGGACAAGATGACTCACTGGGCACCCTATGCCCACTAGGCAGCGCCCAAAGGGCCCCCAGGCAGCTGCAGACACCGGGCTACGTCACGTCCGCAGCCCACCCACCAGCCCACGCCCCGCCTGATGCCCTGGCACCTTTCACAATAGACTTAAGTGCCCAGAACAGATCCAGTTGCCAGCGCTGCGTGCCAAGGGCCGCCGGGTCCTCCACCAACTTTCCATTGTTGAATTGTGTTTCCACCTACCGGTGTGACTGCACTGGTCTAGGTTTCTATCCTCGTCTCCTACCCTGCAAAACACAGCCAGCTTTTAAAGCAGCCCTGCAGAGCGCCCCAGAGGGAGGGAGGGAGGGAGGGAGAGACAGAGAAAAAGAAAGGGAGAGAGAGAGAAGATGGAGAAGATGAGACAGAGAGACACACAGAGAGAGAGAAAAACAGGAAAGGGAGGGAGAGATGGACAGAGAGAGAGAAAGAAGATGAAGGAGGAGAGGGACAAGAAGGCTTGGAGGGAGAGGAGGAGAGAAACAGGAGAGAGGGAGGGTGCCTCCTGTCCCCTCCGTCCCAAACGAGGCTTCCTGGGCACCCCTTCCTCACAGCCAACTACATACGGGCAAAAGGCTACTGACGGAAAAGGGAAGGTTTCAAGGCCACTCTGAGTGGTTTTAATGCCACTCTGGCTGTGCCCCTTGGTCATATGAAACCCCAAGCCATGCCCTTGAGGCCAATGCTTCCTCCCTTCCAAGAGAGGGTGGGGAAGGGCCCGAAGAAGTACCTGGGTACCCCTGCTCCAGGGTCATTTACGGTATGTGCCCCCTTCCCCACTGATTCTTTCCTGACAGGTTGGGACAACTCCCTTAGCAACAAAGGGTTGCTAAGAAGCCACAGGCTGGCTTGAGCCCACAGCCGGAAGGCAGCGCCCTCGCGGAGTCGGGATATTCTGACCCACTCAGGGCGGGCTCCATACACCAACACGTTTTGGGATCCAGGCACTCATGGGACTGGAGACTTCACGTTTCCAGCTGCCTAGGAGTGGTCAGGTTCAAAGGAGGACGACAAAAAGGAAATCAGTGCCGGATAAAAGAAATGCCCAGTTCCGGATACACAGACGGAAAATACGGCAGGATAAGGAAATGCGTAATTCACCCCCAACGCCGCCCCGCGCCCCTAAAACGCCACGGGACACCTGACCTCCCAGTTCCAGATACGCTCTCAAGTCCAGGCGGGAGCATCCTGACGCGGGGGAGAGGGGGAGCCTGGCCAAGGTGAGGTCTGCAAGGGTCTCCGCGGCCGCCGCCGCCCTCAATGTGACGTGACCCCAGCAAGTTCTGTGACGTCGGGGGGGCCCAGACACCGGGGAGGTTGCTGGGGGGCGGGAGGGAAGGTCTAAAACAGGAGACTTCGGAGGTGCGGGGCAGAGCGCCCGCAGGTGGGGAGGCTCTCGGGGGCCGGAAGGAAGCCCTCCAAGTCTCGGGGCGTTCGGCGGACCCAGGGCGCACGGGGAGCCCCGCGCGGAGATCCCGAGCAGGCGGGACCAGGCAGGGCCCTCCCCGGGCGGCGGCCGGGCGACCGCACACAAGCCTTTTGTCTGACGCCGGCTTCCCGGGCGGCGCCGAGCGCCCCAGCGGGCCGGGTCCCCGCGCGTCGCACTCACCCACGGTGGCCAGCGTGTCGAAGTCCTGCGGGCGGTAGGCGGGCGGCTCCGGCGAGGGCGCCCCGGGGCCGGGGAAGTGCGCGGGCTCGCCGTCGGGGGTCTCCCCCGAGCTCTCTCGGGCGTCGGCGTCCGCCGCGGCCGCCTTGGCCAGCCCGGGCGCCTCCATGGGGGCGCGCTCAGGTCCGGGGCGCCGGGCCGGGCCGGGGGGCGCGGGGGGCCGGGCTTCCCGGGACGCAGCCTCGGAGGGCGGCGCGGCGGCGGCGGCGGCGGCGGCATCAGCGGCGCCCACCCATGCGCGGCCCCCGCCTCCCGGTCGGCGGCCGGGCGCAGCAGGCGGCGCGGCGGGGACAATGGCTGGGCGCGGGGCGGCGCTCAGGGCAGGAGCGGCGGCGGCAGCCGGTGGGAGTAGCCAGCGGCCTCTGAGGGCGGGCGCGGCGTGGCCTGGGCGGGGGACGCGGCCCGGGCGGGCGGGCGCGAGGCGGGGTCCTGGCCGCGGCCGCCCGGCCGCCTGTTCATTCCTCTCGTCCCGCGCCCGCCGCCGCCGCGCGGGCGCTGCGTGCGCGCTGCTGGGGGGCCGGGCGGAAGCGGCCTGGG